TGTCTGCATGTGGTTGATATGTTTTTCTTGCTCAGTGGTTTTGTTCAAGGTGAGCCAGGAGCCGAACCGAGACTGATGCAGTTCCACCCAAATTTCCGACACGGAGCTCTGCTCACTGTGGTCAGTCTTAAAATATTAAATTCCTGTTTTAGTTCCTTTATGCTGTTTTTATCCTTTATTTTTTAAACTCCACCTTAATCATGTCAGCCTTAGGGAATCCTAAGGATTGATGCTGGTTATCTGAGTCCAGGTATCTGACGTCACTGTGGATGTTTCCTCTCTTTGTTCTCAGTGCTGGTCCAGTGGAAGAATTACCCATGTGCCTTTCTATTTCCTGAGTGCCAGCATCCCGCGTTTGGGCCCCAGCGGCAGTCCGACACTGCCTCACGTCCAGGAAAGGCCCGCCGACTTTGCCAATCAGTCTCTCTTTACAGAGCTCATTTCCTGACTGCCCTCCACCCACCATCACACGGTCACTCATCATGTTTTGTTGTGGATTGTTAATAAATATGTTGAAAGTGCTAAATAAACACCCGCTTGCTGCCTTATTTCTCAATATTTGTTAAAAGCTGAGGTTAAAGGTGATCTATGATGTGATCTATGACTTTGTGAAGACAATACTTCAACCTAAGATTTTCAAATTGATGCTATAGAGGCGTGTATTAAAGATCTCAGACAAGTATAAATCATATGGTCAAGGTTAGATCTTGTCAACATGATAACTCGAGAAAAATGTCACCCAGGATTTTGAATTGACACCATAGATGAATCTCTCCTCAGAATTTGGTGCCCTTAATTTCAAGGTCAGAGTTCAGGTTTTCTAAACATCCTGTGAATGCGATGTTCAAGAAAGATGTCACCTCAGATTTTCTAATTCAGGGGTGTCAAACTCAAATACACAGTGGGCCAAAATTCTAAACTGGAACAAAGTCGCGGGCTAACATTAATATTTATTGAAAAAATCTTCCCCCAGATATAAGAATGAATCTTTTCTTATGGACTCAAATAAGTTTTGCTGGAAAACTGAATATGGAACAAGCTAAGCTTAATACTAAACAATATATATATTAGCTGTATAATACCAGTAGGCCAGCTCTAATAGTAATTTGTTATGGCTTCGTGGGCCAAATGTAACACTGGGTGAAATCAGTTGCAAAGAGGTTTCTGTAATGGGCAGCAGAAAATTGAAACACCTTTTTCAAGTTCAGTGTAAAATAAGAAAATTAGAGTTGTAAAATATTATAATTGACATTCAGTTGTGCAAATTTCTCATAAATAAACAGGTTCGGCCACACTCAGTCTTAAGATGTATCTTAAAACAGAAGATATGATCTGAAATCCACTTTAGATGTTTGTTGTTTTTTTATTCACAGCTGTTTTTTCCTCACCCTCCTACACAATTAGCTCTTACACTGAGACCATGCTATTTGTGGAACAGGCCAGACTGACTTAATTTAAGGACAAATTTCTTGAGAAAGCCAGTTACTCTTGGTGGTTAAATCCTAGCACCTGAATATGCTAATTTAGCAAGCTGTGCTGTGCAAATTCAGGACAAATCACAATATTATTATTAAGCTTGTCCTTACACTCAGCCGCATACTTACTGTGATGTGTATTCCTATCTCATTTTTGGTCTTAAATTGTATTTAAAGCAGCAAAAAAATTTACTTTCAACTCGCAGTTTGGGATTTTTAATGACAAATGAAATCCTAACAACTCTAAATGGCAAATGAATGGTTTTATTGTGTAAAATCAGGTCTCGTCTGCTTTTTTAGGAACTCTAAACAACTATATTTTTTCTGAGGCAGTGATGCAGCTCACAGTGTGCCACTACCTCACAATATATCTGCTTCCAGTCAACAATATTTTCTTTATTTATATCTTTGAGTCCAGACAAACAGGAGCCAACGATGCCCACTCCGAAACAAATACAGTACTTTTGTTCCTTCGTGTTATGAGATTTGCTCATGCGTTTGCATGCATTTGCTCATGCAAAAACGCACACACACACACACACACTTGCATCACACTCTCGCACACAGACAAAAAGTTTAAAAAGGAAAAATAACATTTGAGCACACGTGACTGGCTCTGCTAAAAGAAGAAATCCATCCCCTGTGCCATTTGTGTTTTTATTCGAAACTCAATTGAATAAAATAAACGCCATCCTCAGTTCGGTTTTCCTTTTATTATTCAATTTACATCAATTTGAAGTGTAGCAAAATAAAAACAAAAATGATCATGGTCATTATAAAATTAATTTTTTTTTAATGTACACACCCTTTACACACACAGAGACAACCCACCCTGGCTGCTTCTGAGGGGCTGTTGTTGGAGGTCCACATTCAGGTGTGGACACCACAGGAGGCCTCCGAGCTCGCCTGTCTCTCCTGTCTTTACCTGACTGCACCCCTCCCTCAGGGTGGAGTGTGAGTGTGTGGTGTGAAGCTAGTGGGGG